ACAACGCCTGGGCATGCTCCTGATGAGGTGGCGGATGGTCTCCTGAGGGATCTCCTCCCAGACCTGGACTAAAGCATCCGCCAACTCCTGGACAGTCTGTGGTGCAACGAGACGTTGGTGGTCCCAGATGTGCTCAATCGGATTCAGGTCTGGGGAACGGGCAGGCCAGTCCATAGCTTCAATGCCTTCATCTTGCAGGAACTGCTGACACACTCCAGGCACATGAGGTCTAGCATTGTCCTGCATTAGGAGGAACCCAGGGCCAACCGCACCAGCATATGGTCTCACAAGGGGTCTGAGGATCTCATCTCAGTACCTAATGGCAGTCAGGCTACCTCTGGCGAGCACATGGAGGGCTGTGCGGCCCTCCAAAGAAATGCCACCCCACACCATTACTGACCCACTGCCAAACCGGTCATGCTGAAGGATGTTGCAGGCAGCAGATCGCTCTCCACGGCGTCTCCAGACTCTGTCACGTCTGTCACATGTGCTCAGTGTGAACCTGCTTTCATCTGTGAAGAGCACAGGGCGCCAGTGGCGAATTTGCCAATCCTGGTGTTCTCTGGCAAATGCCAAGCGTCCTGCACGGTGTTGGGCTGTGAGCACAACCCCCATCTGTGGACATCGGGCCCTCATACCATCCTCATGGAGTCGGTTTCTAACCGTTTGTGCAGACACATGCACATTTGTGGCCTGCTGGAGATCATTTTGCAGGGCTCTGGCAGTGCTCCTCCTGTTCCTCCTTGCACAAAGGCGGAGGTAGCGGTCCTGCTGCTGGGTTGTTGCCCTCCTACGGCCTCCTCCACGTCTCCTGGTGTACTGGCCTGTCTCCTGGTAGTGCCTCCAGGCTCTGGACACTACGCTGACAGACACAGCAAACCTTCTTGCCACAGCTCGCATTGATGTGCCATCCTGGATGAGCTGCACTACCTGAGCCACTTGTGTGGGTTGTAGAGTCCATCTCATGCTACCACAAGTGTGAAAGCACCACCAACATTCAAAAGTGACCAAAACATCAGCCAGAAAGCATAGGTACTGAGAAGTGGTCTGTGGTCCCCACCTGCAGAACCACTCCTTTATTGAGTTGCTAATCGCCAATGATTTCCACCTGTTGTCTATTCCATTTGCACAACAGCATGTGAAATTGATTGTCAATCAGTGTTGCTTCCTAAGTGGACAGTTTGATTTCACAGAAGTTTGATTTACTTGGAGTTATATTGTGTTGTTTAAGTGTTCCCTTTATTTTTTTGAGCAGTGTATTTAAACAAGACTTTGAAAACTAAGTGATCAAATAAAATTATTAAGTAAAGAACTTACAACTAAATGAGAAAACAAATGAGAATAAAAATAAATAAAAAAATATATTTAGAATCAAGTAAAATTGTAATGTAGGGGCTGAGGCAGGTTGCAAGTGTGATGTGACCTAAATAGCGCAATTCCAGTACTCGTCCATTAAACAAGCAGGGGTCAACTCACAGGCAGGCAAAAAAAAAAAAACAAAAACCAAACCAGACCAAAAAGAACAAAACAAAGAAAACACAACTTATTCTGGTAAAAGAAACAAAGAAATTTGGCAACAACTTGAACCGAACAAAGGCTGACATGCCGAAAGTCATGGGACAGGAACTAGGATTGTGTAGGACCCCCTCTAGCCCAGTGAAGTGCAGCAATTCAACGTAGCATTGATTGCACAAGTGGACAGGAGACGTCTGGAGGGATGTTGAACCATGCTGTCTTGATAGCCAGACTGCTGGAATATTCCATCATTGTGGGGGTACATGAAGTCCATTAAGGGCTGCAAATGGTCACTAAGCAGTGAAACGGTCAATGAAGTCTTCAGGTGGACCAGTGGCCAGGCGCCACTTCATAATCAATGTACATACTGCTATCCCACTGCTATAGCATAATATATATAAAATAATAAAAAACAATAAAATCAACAATGTAAGACAGTGCTGGCTGAGTGGTTAGATATTAGAAGTGTGGAATAGTTTAGAGATCACTAATAGGCGGACCATGGTCCATGTCAGGACCCAGATGCTTTCCTATGCAGACCTGGACCTATAACTGATAAACTAAGAAGAATTATTTAATTTCGACCAGGTGGTTTAATTGGCATAACTTTTCTATTATTTACTGTAGCTTTAGCGGCCCGGGAGACTCTCAGACCAATCGCATGCGTCACACGTGACGCTACTCAGCCAATCAGATCTGTGCATTATGATGAGCACTGCGACTTGATTGAGTGTCACACACACACGGGAGGGACGAGGCGAGAAACAGCAGTCGGAGAAGAAAGTGAGTCAGAGGGAAGTTATTTTACATGGCGGCTCTAAAAAGAGAAAACTGACAATAAATGTTGTTGAAATATCACTGAACTGTATTTTATTTGATTGGACATTCAGTTGGTGACTGTATAAGATGTTGATATGCCTACTAGGCTACTTCAGTAAACAGTATATGGCACTGAATCATGATGAAACTTAGACATGATGATGTTCTGGACCTTTGCTTGAGGAAATTTTCTTTGACTGGACCTCATTGAATTTTAATTAAAGACCTCTGATTTAGAGTGTCCTGTAATAGATTGCAGATGACTGGGGCATAGCAGTTTGGTAAAAGTTGTAGGGACAGAAGGGTGATCCAGTAACTGGAACCAGTCTCATTATTTATTTAGTCAATGAAAAGTCCTTAAGCCAAGCAAGTGCATCTTGATCTGCAGCATTGAGGGCAAATAATCCCCCTTTTAGCCTCTGGAGGGGGCAAGCTATAATTATATGTTCCATTGTTTGCTCCTCTCCACACGCCCACAGTGGACTTGGGCAGTGTGCAAAATACTCCTTGATTTGGGGGGGTCCCAGGTTTGCTGGCTACTCCAGTGTTGGCTGGCTGCTAAATTGCTAGCTATAGTGCTATCAGTGGCAACAAAATGTTTAGTTTTTGGTCCAGGTTTGAGAATTTTGTGCATAAGAGATTAAATAGGGGCTCCTGAACCCACCAGGACACCCTGTATTTCACACCGTGGGCTTGGGCTTGGACATGGTTGCATTAAATTGAGTATCCAAGTGATGTGTATTGGAGCACAATATTCTGCTACCGAGCATGCAAGGGCCAGAGGTACACAGTATGGAAGCTACTGCACCCTATTTAGTTCCTGCAAGCTTGCACAGCAGATTGTTTCTAGACTTCACCTTAGCCACCACTGCTTTCAGATATCCCTTGAAGGACAATATCCTTTCAAGGGTTACTCCCAAATATGCTGAGTTGGGACTATTTTTCAGCCAAGGCCGCCGGAACCACGGTGGAGAGTGGGCATTTGCCCCACCACTTTTCACAGTACTGTGACAATGCCCCACCTGTTTTTGAGTTCAGTTTGTGCACATAAAAACCTCCGCTGACAGCATGAAGCACTGATCAGCATGGACAGACATAGTAAAACTGAATAGTAAATCAGAATCTCTGTTTCAGCTGGGAGGCGCTTTCAGCAGTGGTTGGAGCGAACCTGTCCAACTTTTCTGTGGTTGGGTTTTGACATGTGACTCCACTCAAATTCAGATCTGCACCAAACAACTGAACAACTGAACATTCACTAGGGATTCAACACTGGAGCACATTTTTTTTTCCACTGCACATTTTCTCTGTACTGTCTGAACAATCTGCTGCTTTAACATTTCACTCTTTACAAGCACTTATTTCGTTTCTGCACTGCGAGCTGCTGTAAATAACGATGATGCATGATTTTGGCACATGGACTGTGGAGCGTTTTTAGCCAAACATCAGTGACCTGGTCGGTTAATTTGAAACTGGTATACACACAGATGATAACGTCTCTATTTTCTGTTTCTCTGTTTTCATGGTCGCTTTATTATAATTAATGTGTCAGGTGTGTGTCATAAAGTGTTAAGACATCTGCTAGTTTTTCCAAATAATCACATAGTTTTACAAAGAATTCAAGTTTCACAAAACGTAAGAAAGATTTCCCGTAATCCAATCTAAATCCAATCTTGGCTCCTCCAATCTACTCACTGTCCAGTCGTGAACACCTCTGTGTCAAACTGTAAATATTAAACATGTTGATTCTCTCATATAGACACAATGTTGATGTCATAATAAAAATACCAGCTAAAGTAAGTGGAATTCTGCTGTAGTGACATTTGACTTCAATACAATTTCAAATATTAGTAAAAAATCTGTTTATTTTGGAAACTCGTAAATGTTCCTGTTTTTATGTGTAGAATAACAATCTGAAGTATTCCTGATTCAGCTGTATCGCTGAAAACAACCTATACAAACAAAACTAAATCTAAATTCAGTATTTGACCCTGCATTTTTAAAATCCTTACTGCATTCTAGTTTGGCTACAGCAGCTGTTTTCAGACTGTTCTGTGCAGTTTCATTACTTTTCTCCAGATTTGCTCTACATTTGGGAGGGAAATGCCCCCACATCTTTAGATTCTGGGAGTCTAACAATCCAATGCCCCCCCACCCCACTCCCTGCAAACCTGCTTCAATTCAGGATGTGTGTAGAGTGAGTGTTGTTGGTGTGCCAGTTTGAGACCACCCAAAAATAATGCCCTTGGTCTGATTTGTTTTTATTCTGCTACATATCGACCATTCTCTCAGGTACTTTCTGTTAGCAGTAGTTCTAAAAATGAACTAATTTTAACCAGATCACAAGACTTAGAAGATGACAGCAGAAGACGACAGCAGTCTTTTATGATGCTTTAATCAGAGAAAGAACAGAAATACAGAGGATGAGGTGAACACAGCGTTAGATTACACAATCTTTAGATTATACATTCAGTTATTCATTGTTTTTACTTAAACAAATCTCTGTTTGGTAGTGATTCTCTCAATTTAGATCTTTAATAAAGGCTTGACAGTCAGCACAGACACTGATCAGCCTTTCAGGATATCTCATTGTGCTACAGTGAGAGCATATAAAGCAAAGAATGAAGACTTGATTACTGAGGGTGAGACAGAGCCTGAGACACATGCTCTCACTTATAGGCGACATAAAGAGGAATTCCATCACTGCCTTTATTCAGGTTTTTCTCCACAACATGGAAGCCAGCTTTTTTATAAACACTCTGAGCAACATCACCGACTAGCACGGTGAAGAACTGGATGGCAGGAGTTTTTTCACGCTTGTACCACAGATACACAGGACCTCCAGTGGTGCTGTCATTGAGGTTTTTATTAACCTTCGTGAATTTATTCTTCTTCAGGTCGTCCTCCTCATTTTTATTGAGGGAAACATCGATCTTAGCGATGCCATCATCTTCAACCTTGGAGCGGCGATACCACAGAAACACTGCAGAACCTTGTGGCGGCACTTTGCGGTTGGTGTCTTCATCCACACGGATGTATCCTTGCTGAAAGAGATCTTTCATGTCTTGAGAGAAGTTGATAGTGGCTGTGATGTCAGAGATGTAGCTTGTTGCGTCCCTCTTCACCCAGAGATAAACTGGATCTCCACCGTTGTTGCGGTTCAGGTCGCAGCCCAGGCGCTCCCAGCCAGAGCTGAACTGACTTGGCTCATCCTCCAAGCTGGTGGTCACCTTCAGCTTCAGGATTGGGAGGTCGAACCTAGAGGTGCCACTCATGTACCACAGGTATGTCTCATCGCCTCCAGTACCTGTATTTATGTCTTTAACGACCTTGGTGAAGCCAGCGGCAGAGAGAATGCTATCCATCTCTTTTCTGAAGGAGAACTGGATTCTGGTGATCGGCCTGTCGCCCTGCTTTTTAAACCACAGGAACACATCAGGACCTGAAGTACCACTGTTGAGATTACCGTCAACTTTGGAGAAACCTTGCTTTTCAAACTTGTCTTCTTCATCCCTACTGATAGAGACTTGAAGTTCAGTGATAGCTTGAGCCATTTTGAGCTTTGGTGATTTGATTAAGAAATATGCTGTTGAGAGAAGAGTAATGAAATTCATAATTTTATACACATGTTTATTAAGATAGGTGACCAAATTAGTTTCTTCTGAGTAATAAATAAAGTATTGTTGCATCATTATATATAGGACTATATCGCTGTTGTCAGAAGAAAACCTTGTATCTCCAAAATGGTAACTTTACAGGAGAAGGAAAAAATATATTTTACTTCCAAGTCAATGGAACCAGAATTTTGTTCCAAGTCATTTTGTGTAATTTCTTTTGGTCCATTCATCATGGATTAAATTTACACACAATGCAAAGGACAACAGGCATTTTCAAATTATGTCAAAAACTGAAAAATGGAGATATGAGGTTTTCTTCTGATAACAGCGAGATATATAATTTATACACACACACACACACATATATGTACAGCATAATTTCGTAGTCTAATAACAGCCAATTCTCCCTCAAATGATCTCAAATTTGAACAAAGTGTGTAAAAACTAACCAAGTTTAATTTTTCATCTTTTTTTATCAGGTTGAAGAATGGCGTTCACTAGGAATGAAAAGGGACTCTGTGTGTTAGAATATGCTCAAACACAGTCAAACAAGAGTGTGCAGCTCGCATTTTCGAGAAAATTCAATAAAAATGCACCAACTGGAACTGCGCTGGAGACGGTTACGCAAGACATGCTACAGCATGTTTGGCAAGAGCTGGACTACCGACGTGACGTGTCGCGCCACAGACGGTGCGCATACTGAACATTTGTGAAGCTGTGAAATTGGTTATAATGAAGCTTATTTAATTTGTCTAGGACATGTAGTTACTCAGATATTCACATCTCAAATGATGTCATTTTTTTGGGACACCCTGTACACACATTTTACATATATATATATATACTGAATTAATAATGAATTAAGAATGAATAAACTGAATTACCAAACAAGATGTTGTTGTTGTTCTCTGGTGGATCAGTGTCTCTTCCTCTGTGGAGATCTTCTCTGGCTGAAGGTAAGAGTGGACTGATGGATCACCTGCTTATATACAGCAGGAGAGGAGGTGGAGGGAACATTCGAGATGCTTTGGTACAATCGCAGAGCTGTTATGTGGGTGTGACCAAAGATCTAACTAGTGTTTTTACTGAGAAACTTTCACAATCATGTATCTGTAGAACATTTAAGTACCAACAAAGTAGTTCTTCAGTGTGAATGATCATAGGAAAAATATGTCCTTATCAAATTTCAACACTTGTAAGAGTTTATCTAAGCTAGAGTAGTGACCTGCCAGAACAGGCTCTCCAGGTAGACATTTGACTGCACATAATCAGTCCGGGGGTTTGATTTTTCACTAGGCTAGAGTGAAATCACCTGTGTGAACAACTATCAAAAAGTGAGATTCCACTCCCAGCTGATATTACTCACTACGCTGCAAGAAATGGTATCTTGTCAAGTGAAATTACAACCCCTTTTCCAAAAAAGTTGGGATGCTGTGCAAAATATAAATTAAAACAAAATGCAATGATGTGCAAATCATACAAACCCTAGAGTTAATTGAAAATAGTACAACCCCAATCCCAAAAAAGTTGGGACGCTGTGTAAAATGTAAATAAAAACAGAAAGCAATGATTTGCGAATCTCATAGACCCCTATTTTATTCACAATAGAACATACAACACATATCAGATGTTGAAAGTGAGACATTTTACCATTTCATGAAAAAAACATTAACTCATTTAGGACTTGATGGCAGCAACACATCTCAAAAAAGTCGGGACAGGGCCTCGTCTGAGTAGAATTCTTAAACAACAGTCTGTAAATGTCTGGGAAGTGAGGAGACCAGTTGCTGGAGTTTTGGGAGAGGAATGTTGTCCCATTCTTGTCTGATGTAGGATTCTAGCTGCTCAACGGTCCTGAGTCTTCTTTGGGTCTTCTTTGCCAGATTTTTCGTTTCATGATGCGCCAAATGTTTTCTATTAATGAAAGGTCTGGACTGCAGGCAGGTCAGTTCAGCACCCGGACTCTTCTTCTGTGAAGCCATGTTGTTGTGATGGATGCAGTATGTGGCATATGTTCTAAAACCTCTGTATTTTGTTCAGCATTACTGGTGCCTTTACAGATTTGCAAGTTACCCATGCCATGTGCACTAATGCCCCACCATACCATCATGGATGCTGGCTTTTGAACTGTGAACAAGCTGGGAGTTTTTTAGTCTGGAGGATGCACTGTCCATGATTTCCAAAAAGAATTTCAAATTTTGATTAATCCGACCACAGAACAGTTTCCCATTTTGCGTCAGTCCATTTTAAATGAGCTTGGGCCCAGCGAAGTTGGCAGCGTTACTGTTTATATATGATTTCTTTTTTGCATGATACAGCTTTAATTTGCATTTGTGGATGCAGTGATGAACTGTTTTCACAGACAGTGTTTCTCAGAAGTGTTTCTGAGACCATGCAGTGATTTCCAGTACAGGATCATGCCTGTTTCTAATGCAGTGCTGCCTGAGGACCCAAAGATCACAAGCATTCAATATTGACCGTTGGTCTTATCCTTTGTGTACAGGGATTTCTCCAGAGTCTCTGAATCTCTTGATGATATTATGTACTGTAGATGGTGGGTTTTCCAAAGTCTTTGCAATTTTACGTTGAGGAACATTTTTCTGAAATTGTTTCATAATTTTTAGATGCAGTTTTTGCAGGTTGGTGAACCTCTGCCCATCTGTGCTTCTGAGAGACTCTGCCTCTCTAAAATGCTTTTTTTATACTCAGTCATGTGAGTTAGTTGCAAATTACTCCTTCAGCTGTTTTTTATGAGTACCACTTACTTTCCCAGCCTTTTGTTGCCCCGTCCCAACTTTTCTGAGATGCGTCGCTGCCATCAAGTTCTAAAAGAGTTCATTTTTTTGTTGAAATGGTAACATATCTCACTTTCAACATCTGATATGTGTTCTATGTTCTATTGTGAATATAACATGGTCTATGAGATTTGCAAATCATTGCATTCTGTTTTTATTTACATTTATTTACATTTTACATGTTTGGAATTGGGGTTGTACAAAGATAACATATCGAATGTTGAAACAGAGAAATTTTATTGTTTTTTGAAAAATATTTGAGCATTTTGAAGTTAATGCCAACAAGAAGTTCTAAAAAAGTTGGGACAGGGGCAACAAAATGCTGGTAAAGTTGTGTAATGCTAAAAAAAACACCTGGTGGTTGATTGGCAACAGGTCAGTAACATGATAAAAACAGCGAAGACTATTTTTTTGCTTTTCATCATCTACGGTACATAATATCATTAATATCTGGAGAAATCTCTGTATGTAACAGACAAGGCCAAAAACTAGTATTTGCTGGCCGTGATCTTTGGGCCCTCAGACAGCACTGCATTAAAAACAGATATGATTCTGTAGTGTAAATCACTGCATGGGCTCAGAAACACTTCTGAAAACCACTGTCTGTGAACACAGTTCTTCACTGCATCCACAAATGCAAGCTAAAACTCTAAAACACAAAGAAGAAACCAGATATAAACAGGATCCAGAAACACTGCCACCTTCTCTGGGCCTGAGCTAATTTAAAATGGACTGAGGGGAAGTGGAAAAGTGTCCTGTGGTCCAACAAATCAACATTTGAAATTCTTTTTGGAAATCATGGACACTGTGTCCTCCGAGCTAAAGACCACTCAGCTTGTTATCAGTGCACAGTTCAAAATCCAGTATTCATGATGGTATAGGGGGCATTAGAGCACATGGCTTGGGTGACTTGCTCATCTGTGAAGGCACCATTAATACTGAACAATATATACATGTTTTGGCAACATATGCTGCCATTCAGTCAACGTCTTTTTCAGGGAAGGCCTTGATTATTTCAGCAAGACGATGCCAAACCACATTCTGCATATATTACAACAACATTGAGTCTGGGTTTTAAACTGACCTGCCTGCAGTCCAGACCTGTCACCACTGAAAACATTTGGTGAATTACGAAATGAAAAATATGACAAATGAGCCCCTGAACTGCTGAGCAGTTGAAATCCTGTATCAAACAAGAGCAGAAAACATTTCACTTTCAAAACTACAGCAGTGTCTCCTCAGTTCCCAAACACTTACAGAGTGCTGTTAAAAGAAAAGGTGATAAACACAGTGGTAAACAGGCCCCCGTCCCAACTTTTTTGGAACGTGATGTGGGCATCAAATTCAAAATGGGCATATATTTTCAAAAAACAATAAAATTTCTCAGTTTCAACATTTGATATGTTGTCTTTGTAGTATTTTCCTTTAAAAATATCGTTTACATGATTTGCATATCATTGCATTCTGTTTTTACTTACATTCTGCACAGTGTCCCAACTTTTTTGGAAATGGGGTTGTATATTATAATGATATTGCACTAATTCTTACCTGCAGAAATAAAATATTTAGATATGTGATTTAGAATGTTGGAATTCTACATAAAACCAACTCCTGAATGAAAACTGACTGATGAAATATCAAAGAGGAAAATTTTTGTAACAAAGCTGTGACCAACCAGACGCTCGCGGATATCAGATAGAGAAAGGGCTTTAATGTTGGACGGACAGTTCAAAATCAGAGAACCAAAGTCAGGATAAGCTATAATTGCCTATAATGAGGCAGTAATGAAAGTGGAGATACAGGCTAAGGTAAACAAAACAAAAAAAAACAGAGAATCAGGCAAACTAGACAGAAAGGCCAGGTAAAAATACCCAGTTATTATTCCAGTCAGATTTTTTAAAATGTAAATCCACAATATGGTTCGGCAGGCACTAACTGAGTGGAAAAACACTTTGCAGGTCACATAAAGGTATTGGGACACTCCTTTAAATTATTGAGTTCAGGTGTTTCAGACACACCCTTTGCTAACAGTTGTATTAAATTAAGCACATAGTCTTGCTGTCTCTGGCAGTAGAGGGTCGCACTGAGGAGCTCAGTGACTTTAAACATTGCTCTGTCATAGGATGCCCCCTCTGCCACAAGTCAGTTTGTGAATGTTCTGTCCTGCTAGATCTGCCCCAGACAACTGTAAGTGCTATTGCTGTGAAATGGAGGCGTCTAGGACCAACAACAGCTCAGCCATGAAACAGCAGACTGTAGTCTGATCTCAGCATAAAGATGGACATAGCTAATAAGTCTTGATCTTCTACTGTCGTCTGATCTCAGCATAAAGATGGACATAGCTAATAAGTCTTGATCTTCTACTGTCATCTGATCTGACCATAAAGATGGACATAGCTAATAAGTCTTGATCTTCTAGTGTCATCTGATCTGACCATAAAAATGGATGGTGTCTCTGAAGAGTTTATAGATTTTCATTCTGTCTGCTGTTCTTTCAGGATGATTCTCATCCTGATAGTTTGTCTATTGAGTGTTTTTTTTTACTGATTTTTCTTCATTTTAGATGCAGTCATGAAGAATCCACATTCACAAGCAGGTTGTTTTTGGTTGGTATCCAGGTCTCAGGCCAGCAGTGTCACTGTGGTGTTATAAAACTCCAGCAGCACTGCTGTGTCTGCTCCACTCAGACCAGCACAACACACACTAACACACCACCACCACGTCAGTGTTACTGCAGTGCTGAGAATGATCCACCACCCAAACAGTACCTGCTCTGTGAGGGTCCATGGGGGTCCTGACCACTGAAGAACAGGGTAACAAAGTATGCAGAGAAACAGATGGACTACAGTCTGTAACTGTAGAACTACAGAGTGAAACTATATGGTCAGTGGAGCTGATAAAATGGACAGTAAATGTAGAAAGAAGGAGATGGACTTAATGAGTGGTCAGTTTGTGTTTATTTACAGTCAAGCACAGTGGTGTCCTACCCTCACCAGTCTAGTGTGTAATTGTTTGTAAACACCACTCTACCTGTTTATTTGCTTATGTACTTTCTACTCAACCTGTTTTGTCTGACTTTTGTGCAAGTTCTGCATATTTTGTTTAGACAATTAAAGCAATTGTTTCCAAATGATTCCTGGTGGAC